GGAGACGGAATTGAACTCTACCATTCTACTTATAACTTTTAAGCCTGCTGGCTTACCTGCGGAGCGAGATGGAGCCATACTGTTTGGGTCAATACATGAAAGTCTCGATGCTTTCCAGTTCTGAAAACCAGTGTAAAATTGCATCAGCCCATAAATGCATATAATATAACTGTTAATGCTTAGAAATTTTTAATATTCACAATAACTGGCAAACTGAATCCTCATAAAAGGAACACGTATATTCCATTTCTTCATGATCTGAGAAAAGATTGTTGCCACCTCTCATCTCATTGTCCATTACCAAACAATTCTATCACATAATGTTGGAATACAAAAAAGACGTAACTTTTCTTTCCTTCTTTTTTGTTGCGACTCCATATCTTGCAACAGTGAAACGATCAACAGGAACTAAATCACATGGAATGACGTTTAGTTGTTAACTTGATCTCGGTTATTAAATTGGCATTGCTAATGATAACAATTCTAGTGTTAGAAATATAATAGTTCAGATTATTTATACATGTGCTCCATGCTTTATTTTGCCTAAACTAAAATATTCACGTTTACATTTCTATAGAACACATCTTCATAGTTATTGTTAAAACTCAACGAAGAATAAACAAGAAGTAGATGCTAGGAATTATTCATGGATTATTGTTACATATATCCACATCGCATAACTACAAAGTAACTGTCATCATATATCTATTCAGATTCGTTTTGTTACGAGCTTCAATTTGGCCTGTTAAGCAAAATTATACGGTTTACTCTCGTTAAATTAGTTCTAATCTATTAGGAACTGTTCCTTATATTCACGGATACTTTTGGGTTGACCATGTATACTTGTAAATTTCTATTTATGGTATGATACGCTTTGACTATCTTGTACATAAACTACATATGTTTGGAATGCATGATTCACACAGATTGTATTCTGAACTTAAACAGAGAGGTCTAGGTGAAAAGAAACAAAAAGGACTGAGAGTGGAATTTAGACTGTTCGTAATAGTCAACACGTCATTGGTTTGGCACAGGACAAGATCAAATAGATCGATGTTCTGTCTGGCGATAATTGGACAGGCTATAAGAACATAACAGTTCTGTTATTTTACTAACAATATCTTGTTTTCTATTTTTCAAATCAAAGCACTACTATTTTTAGTGTGACCAATGAACACTTAGGTCAAATTAATTATTTGTCGGTATATAAACGGATCAATTTCTGTCTGAACAACAATACTTGGGTTATACTCAGTTGATCTACACAGTAATCAAGTGAATCAAATGTCTCGGTTAACCAATATCGTCATAACGTTCATCATTCTTCTGAATTCAAGTATATCACGTAAGTAAATCTTCTGTTACATTTAAACTCTATTGTTACTTTTACGTATATACCTTAAATGTATCGTAATATAACGACTTACTATCCGCATGATCATTTACATGTACCGACAGATGAGGTTCACAATTTTAGTGTTTAGCTACAGAGTTTGACATATAATTTAAAACAATATTCCAACTGTCAAGTTACTTCTCACATAGTTCGTCTTCAATCTGTTGGGTGTATGTACCATGAATAAACTTAACTGATTAAAACTTAGATGGACTACAGAAACCTCTACAGTTTAATATTCTGTTATCACAACTGATTGACTCATAGTGAAATGAATAAGAGTTTAATTGAGAACCAAACTCAAATGCTGAAACAGATTACATACAGTGAGATGACTTGGATATTGATGGCATATATAACTCCCATTGGTTGTATTTTAAACTCGATGTTGATTCACTCGGTATTTGGGATAATATCGTCTGTAAGGTATTAGTCAATGTAATGAAGTATAGTCATTTAAATTTCTTCCTGAAACACAACAGTTTAATATAGAAAAAGTGCGTAAACTGTTTTAGAGATACAGCACGTGTATAAGAGTATTCTCAAAGTGACCAAACATTATGTGGTTTTACGTTCCTAATTCTATGATGTAATTTCTTCAGTAGACATAAAGTGATGATCTATCAACAAATGGATCAAAGGGTAATTGGTCAACAAAATCTAAACATTTTCTGTTTAGATAGAATCTTTGAAGTTGCTCTCGAATCTTCTTTACAATTTCCAAGAAATTCAACATACCAGTGGTAATAGGCTTAGTTCCTTGAGGTTTGAAAACAGAAACATTCAAAGAGTTAAACCATAACAACGTCATCGATACACATTCGCACGATACTGATGGTTAGACATAAATGGCTTTGGTTACAACATGGTATTATATGTTTGTAACTTACCATTGTAATAGAAGGCATATGTACATTCTGTGCTAATGACTTATGGTGTTACATATAAATATAAGTATGACGTATCAGAAGCCTAAACAGTCATGAGACTCTCTTTCATGATGAATTCGTTACGTTTATTCGATTATTTTCTTTTCATCATTATTTTAGTGATCAAATGTAAGTTTCTAACAAACTTTTATCACAACTGAAAGAATAATCGTAAGTTATCACAAAACACCCTTTGTAAAAATGTAAGAGTATTCCAACATCAGGGGAAACAATCATAGACGATGACATACTTACTTTAGCTTGTTAACCCTCATGGAGGATCATAGACTTCTCACCAGCATTCTCTATCGAACTGTGTCTTGAGCAATCCTTTCCATTTGTTTCCAGTTGTTATTCATCTTTTCGATGTCTGCTTCCAATTATAGACGCAGTGTGTTCTTTAACCTTCCTTCTTTTTGTTTCCCTTCAACATTACAAGTTAGCGTTTGTCTCGTGATACAGTTTGTTGATTTACGTCATTCATGTTCTATCCACTTTAAACGTCTCCTCATAAGTTTCTGCTCAGCTGGAAGCACATCGTAGATAATGCAAATCAAAAATTATTGTCGATAGAATAAAAGTGAGAAACAAACACGTTGTTGTTGAAGCAAAATTTAGAAAAGAGCAAGTGAATTACACATATTTGCGAATTCATTCCAATGATAAGTTGAGATGACACTGCATCAATCATTCGTTCATTGAAATTTACAAATCTCATGACAAAATGAACCATCAGTTGTTCGGACAAAGCGACCTACTTGTACACTGGTCAGCCAACTTGTACACTAACAACTTGTTTCATCTAATCGTGATAACTGATAAGTATCTCAATTAGTTACATCAACTTCGCCCATTTTCAAGTATCATTCTAACATACATCCATAGCGTATTATTTTTCACGGATGTTCCTAGCTCGTCGGTAGTTCTATACGAAAATACGGTGGTTTATTACAGCATTTAGTGCACTGTATAAGTAATTTTCTGTTTGCAGAAATGTCTTTGTCGAATAAACTAGAATGTTTGTTCCCTCTCACTCTATTCAATGTGCAACGCAAATTTTTGAGAATTCATTTGCTGAAGTTCAACTTAATGACACAATTGGAGAGTAAGAAAAATACAGCAAGTACAGCTGATAAGATATTTATTTCAAATATAAACATTCAGCAGCGATGAGCAAACTCCATGAAGTAAAACAAAATTTAAGGTGAAATATATGTTTCACACATTTAAAGGAACCACAGTAAAATCAGAAGATCAGCCATTTCACATTCCCTCAATATCACATCCACATCCCATCACGCCTATTGTCAACACATAAACATACAGCAAGATTTTTTTCCTACTTCTGTGTTTCAGGTGAGAAAATCATTAATACAAACATGACGGACGTCATAGGTTAGTTGGTTGTTGTAATTCACTGATTTTTCACACATATTCACTAAACACACATTGACATTGACGGTGTCGCGTGATCACATGCGTCACCGCGACAATCGTAACATAACCATACCATTACGTTCATCAACTGTCTAATTTCTTTATTGCTGATGTTTTCGTGTTCTTCCACTCACTCTCTCTGATCACATCTTGTGTGGCCGACCCAATCACACTTATGTTGACACACATTGTACATTTATCATCAGGTTTAATACACATGCTTCGAACGGATCTGGAAATACTTTCCAGAATACACGTGCAACTGGTGTGTCAGTGATGACTGATACGGATTCCACTATGTGTGAATTGCTTTCGACCACTCATGAGAAGTTGCGTCACGTATAATTTCCGAACAAACTGGAAAAGTCACTCAAACCCACTGATCCACTCGTCCACATTGCAAACACAATCATTATCGCTAGTTGATTGGGGAGCAATCATTCTCAAACTCCACATTTCACAATCCATTCGAAATGCAACATCACACAACAAAACAGCTGTAGAAAGTGAGTGACTCTTCAAAGGAATGCAATACGTCCATAATCCATGGACGCTCACATACGTGAATGAGGTTGATTCATGTGGTTGATGATTGATGACATTCTAGTGTGCAGCGATGTTAGTGGAAAGGTTGATTGTGCAGTTGTGGCGTTCCGTTAGTCATGAGACGTGTGCGTGTGTGCTGGTAGTTTCACATCTCCAAATCAATGTGATATCTGCATTCGTGCATCGATTTGCATGGTTTGCACACACTGTCAGTGCACACAAACTCCATATGGGCATGTTCACACACATGTCCAGAGTGACACGCGCCCATCTACTCACATAAACACAGTGACATAGGCAGACGCGTCACATCAACCATTCAACACAAATCCACTAATCAACCATTCAAAATTACCTGAAACTCGCCTCCCCATACCATCCCTCCCATGGTCAATACGTCCAGCTTCAACAAGCATATGATACAAAATTATTCTATTCAATTCTCTCGGTTTCAGAAGACCCGATCGAAACTACGATATCAACGGAAATTACAAGTAAGTTAACGGTATTTCAGTGAAACGCACATATTCACTAAACACTCATTGACATTGACGGTATCGCGTGATCACATGCGTCACCGCGGCAACATTCCCTCAATCTCACCTCCTCATATCATCACTCCCATTGTCAATACCTCCAGCTTCAACAAGCATATGATACAAAATTATTCTATTCAATTCTCTCGTTTTCAGATGACCCGATCGAAACTACGACAGCAATGGGAATTACAAGTAAGTTTATGGTATTTCAGTGAAACGCACATATTCACTAAACACACATTGACATTGACGGTGTCGCGTGATCACATGCGTCACCGCGGCAACATTCCCTCAATCTCACCTCCTCATCCCATCACTCCCATTGTCAATACGTCCAGCTTCAACAAGCATATCACTTAAAATTATTTCTCTCCCTTCTTCTGTGTTTCAGATGAAACAATCAATAAAACAAACATGACCGAGGTCATAGGTTAGTTGGTTGTTGTATTTCACTGATTTTTCACACACACAGTTTAACATTGTGCTTACATCATGAAAATGTCCTCATTCACATTTCAATCACCATCAATATACTCATTGTTATCATGTGGTTCTTAAACTGTATTTTCTTTTAGCTGAGTTTAATACCACTGAACAAACTACAAATACTGAAGGTAAGTACAAATCTTTACAGACACTTATTTTTGTCAGCTTTATTGAATAAACAGTTTTCTCCAAAGAACATGTGTTATATACGGTGATGTTGGGTAATTATTTTGAAGAAAACACAATTGAAGTTTGATGACTGTGCATCTATTACAAAACGGTTGTAAATATACCATCTGATATTTACTACACACAAAGTGCTCATACTAGATTTTATAATGAGCGATAAATAACGGAACAATAACTAAGACCATGGTAACACTCAAATCGTTCATCCAGAATAATTGCTATGCATGATCACCATTCAAATCATCTTAGTTATTAATAAATATGTAAATGTATTTGTTTCTATGTCCGTAAATTTTCTATTTTCCTACATTACATCTTTTAACTAGAGAATACCAACTCCGGTTTGGGAAGAATAATGCTCTGTAAGTTATTTATTTAGCACTGCAATTAAGTTAAATCAATGTTTTCTCCAATACAAAATCATCAAATGTTTGATTACATAAGTAAGCCTAACACCTATGAATAATCTAGCTACATTTACATTAGGAACGTTGTATATCTAAGTCTAATCATGTCCATTATAACTGCAAAACGTCATATGATCGAATTGATTTACAACTTATTTGTGATACATTTTTCACTATGTGGTATCATCAAAACAGTGAAAGATGAGTATGAGTTGACACACTCAAAATTACCCCTATTATTACCGATAATTTCTTCAATATTCAAAATGTGTCCTACCCTTACCGTTTCCATGATGAATAACATATCATTGTTTTCTTACTTTTTTTTAGATATCCTAGCTGGATTATTCATTTTGGCTATATTGGCCGCTATTGTGGGTTGTATTGTATTACGTTTAAAGAAATGAAAATCCAATAAGTGATATATACATTCAATATACTTTCCAATTCATTACTGCTATATCAAGTGTTATATGTTTGGAAGAATATTTGTTAAGCATAATGCGTAGATAGTTTGTGTAAACCGACTACTTTGATATTATTTTTTAATGTCTCTTTTCATCAATTTTAATTTTAGTATATTTGAACGAATAAATTGTGTACCAGGAATACGGTTGTATACTTCTGTTGTAAACCTCGGCACTTTAATGCTATAACAGGGCTCATATGATTTCATATCATTAGATTGTTAGTCACATTCAATAGAAGTATCTTTAGTGATTCTCATTTCTGTTAAATAATCACAAAAAGCGATTAAGGATTGTATCTCAACAGTCATGCTTGTTATTATGCTTATGTTAAGTAGTAAACATTGTGTTTATCAGAACTTTGTTAATTTAATGAAATATATAGACAGTTCATTGGTACGTCGAACAGCTATAGCGTGGCGTCGACTCACGGTTGAAAATGAACACCGCTACAGAGAAACACATGCCAAATAAATCCCCCGGAAGTCAAATATCAGAAGGTAGTTAATGAACCAAGTCGAGATATATTTGCTGGCGATCTCATGGTATCGAAAAGATACCGAGATCGTGCCAGGATACAAGCTTGTTTACAGAACGTAACCGAATTCACGCGAGGTCATAATCAAAGTGTAAGAATAACAATGGAAGTGTAATATAGCTGTCATTAGCACAGTTAAACAAAGAGCACACTAAACAAGCACAGGTACATTTGGTTATAATAATAATAATTGTTTTCAATAAATCAATCGTGTTCTCGTGATAAAAGCGAGTCACTACACAGCCATCAACCAAAGACAGAGCAATAGTTGATCTTATAAATCTTCACATTTTACACCAATTCGCTGACAATATTTATATTCGGCAATTTATTCAGCATCCAACCGAGTTCCACAAACAAATATCAAGAAACCATTGTTGAAATATTGGGATATTTGATAGATTGTACCATTAATACTGTTTCGATATTTTACCATTCTTTACAAATGGTCGGAAAACAGTTATTTATGGTTTGTTTAAAATCTATTTCACTTCAAAATTCAGGAAAACGGTAAATGGTCAAACAATGTAGGACAACCATTTGACTTGTCACATAAGTACCACATCCATCATAATATAAAAGTGAATCGTGTTTCTCGACTTTATTCGTTTTCTGTATGTTTAGTGTTAGTAGTTCAGAGTTTGTACAGAGTTTAAGCTTCATATGCTTCAGAGTGCTTACTGGTATTTGATGTGACATGAAAAAAGGAAACGACTCACCAATAATCATGTGTTTTGCGCGTACAAGCTATAGATTTCTCCACCTTGAACAATCATCCCGAAACCTGATGAAAGCTATTTCCAAACGAATGAGAATGCTTTAGAACAATACTATGTTGTAAGTTGTTACTGAGTAACAATGAAGAAAGAACTCGGTTTGACATCATGAATGCTGATACTAAATTTTGAATTAATGCATCGCATGAAATGAGTAGACGAAATGTAAGGTTAAGACTTAATATTAGTACTATTTCTGTAAATGCCTGACCGAGTGTAAAGAAAACGAGAAAATGATAAATGGTCAAACCATTGTTTGACAATATGGAAAACTGAGGTATTGTACAAAATACCAATGGAAATTTTATCAAGAATTCATCGAAAAGTGTGAATCATGTGGGTGAGTGTATGGTAGGCTTCAAGGGTTGAGATGGTTCAGCGTTATTCTACACTTAGTACAGGTTTTTATAGAACACTTTTATGCGTCGCTTCAAAAATGATTTTCGCCTTGAGATAAATCGTCAAATTCATTTTGTACATATTGATCACGTCGTTATCAGCCAACGGAAAACTTTCATCGGCATAGCACTGTACTCTACACGTTTGACATCTTTGTTACAAGATGGCGTAAGACCTCCTATTGTTTGAATATGACAGAGTTTAGATAAGGCAGGGTTCAGGAGGTGAAATGAATACATTTGTTAGTTAATTGAACGAATTTGAGAACAAATGGAAGGGAAAAGCATCTTAAAACAGTAAAATGATAAAAAGGACGTATTGTTATTATTATTGATGAATAATAATAAATAGAATTCCCCTTTCGATCCAGAAGTGCTATTAACTGAAAGCATATTTTTATGCGGGAGCGGCTACTTGGTCGTAGCTTTAGGTACATGACGATCAATGTTCATATTGAGCATCTCTTGGTTGTATAACTTAACAGGCAGTGTTCCACGTGGTCGAATAGGTCTTCGTTCGTTTGTGGTTCGGTTCTACAAACCAGTTAAGTACAGAACCCAGTGCTAGATTTAGCGGATTCATATTTCTACACAAAGAGTAGAAGCGGCAACAATATTTACTAGCTGACTTGAAAATATGTACACAAAAAGAACTCCTAGATCATCACGTTCAAATAACTTTGAATGCAGTTGACGAAATCGGTGTTTCGCTGTATCTACATAACAAGTTTTGTTGATGTCTAGTCTTTGTGTAGGTCAGAAATCTCAGTTACTTACCTCGAAATTTCCAGAACAATAATGACAACAGTAGAAGTAGTGGAGCTAGTGCTTCTTCATACCTCAAAATGACATCGTCTGAAATGTTGACAGGTTTAACATGAATTCCCTGCTATGAGCACATTCGTGCAGTTGAACTAAGCGTCTCTGAAGTCCTTCTGAATCTCTTCACATCTCATGGCTGTTTTGTGGCCGTTTTTTACTTTCAGTGATATATAATTTCGCGTACATCAAAACATGAATAATGTTGGTGAAATTCAGATGCTTAATGTAAACGTTGACTGGTGTGTTTATGTCTTCCATAAAATGAACAACTTGCGTTCGGTTGTTGATGGACATTATATTCAGAGCTGCTCATATCAAGAAGCAATGCTATGTATGCCTAATCACTCAGGTACAAACTCCCTTCTTCTTGTGATATTATGCTCTCTGAATTTGATGTTACTTTTTAAAAGTGCTGTGTTCCAAGCCTTTTATCGCACGTTTTGTAGGAACTTATTGTCTCTTCTAGCTCAAGCCTCTGTGTTGTGGGTTAGATATCATTGTAGTATGACAAACGGTAATGAAGTTTACTAGTTGCATAGCCTGTGAGACACTTACCGGATGATATATAATTCAGAGATGAGAAAGGTAGATCTCTGATCAAAAAGTACGAAAGAAAACATGTTCAGTGCTAGAACACCCGAGTCATGCTACCGGCTAGTAGAAAAACAAAGCATTTGGACCTGAATAAATTTTGGGATATTAGACATTTTAAAATTTGCAGAATATATATTCAGGAACTACACACTACATTTCAGAATACTGTGAAGTAATTATAATCGACCATAGTTGGGTGACATCCATAGGTTTACTAGTTATCAATCTACCTGCAGCAGACATTTAAATCAAATATGGAACCAGATGGAAAAGACGACGTAACTTAAAACAACGAGAAACTCTGGATCTGAATATGTGCGATAAGGAAAAATGTAAGTGACGAACAATGATTGGTCAGAAAAAAGAAACACATTTTTTGTCATGTTATTGCAAACATAAAAATGGAACTGCAAGTGCTATATATTCATTGTCTGTATAGAGTTATAAGTACTTTTAACTTCTTTACAATGTCATAGTTATGGATGAGAACTGGCAGCATATTCCACAGCAGACTATGCTGTACTGTGAAAGCATACAACGAATCAATTTTCAATGTTTTTCAGTCAGTATTGTGTACGCAATATTTTTGAGATTGAATGTAGGTTTACCAAATAAAATTAGAGAAGAGGTTTGATATTGTAGCTAGAACACCATATGATCTGTCAGTGCCGAAATGCTTCAGAGTTCTTAGTGCCTTAGAAATATTCTCCATGTTGTAGTATGTATTTCTTACTTCATAGTAAAGCTCAGGGGCATGCACTATTTTATTTGGTGCTCGTTTGTGATGTGCAATGTTTGCTGAATGGTTTAGTAGTTAGCATGGGAGTGCCATAGACCATCCAGCCTTATACGTTATAAAAGAGTAGTACAACTCAACCCCATTTCACTAGTGAACCAAAAACCATACATGCTTTAACGTTAAAAACTGAATAGTACGTTTTACTTAAATGTATTTTCTGGTCTCGATTAAGATGACGGAAGTTAATATCGAGGATTTTGATGAGTGCGAAGGAAACATTACCAAGTCTTGTCATTTGTGTACGCATTACCTCGGTCTTGAAAACATATTTCTGTCATTAAAGTTATGTAATGTTGTTATGCGTTTTCGAAGATGTCTGAGTATATGAATCAGTATTCAGAATTTTTAAGGTATCCTAGGTCTCCAGTATTCGTGATTCGTTATAATGTCAAGGAAATTGCTGGTTTTGTGGCAGAACACGTTAGGTAGTTTGCCATTAACAATCATAATTGCAGTGTGAAGTGCAAATAAACACTCAATGATTCATAGTAGGTTTTTAACAAACCCTAATAAAACAGTAAGCATGTGACTATCGATTTATGTTAACACTGACAAAAACTCTATCAATCTCAAATTAAACTGTGACCTTAAGCACAGATACACGTAGTATCAGGTTCTTATATTTCCACGATTTCCGCATTAAAGAGGCATGTAAAAATACTTCGCATGATATCTTATTTCCTCCGATGATTCGCTATGCTAACTAAGGGCTTCAGGATAATTCGTACAAAATTTCGTAATTCTCTTAAACAGCAATTCAATTTTGCTTATAAACATTCATTGAAACTTCTCAAATAGAGAACCTCCAATCTCTTATGAAACCTTCAACTCCACATAGCAGTATAAATTCTGTGTTAGTAGAACGACCATATAAGTCACTGTAAGCAAACTTAAAAAATTTGGTTACCATATTTGAGCCCTAACGACAAATGTTTTGTTGATAGATACATATTTAAAAGTGCAATATTGATTAACATGGTACCTGGAAGCTAATGAACTAAAATGCGTTCAAG